TATATATTTATAGGCAAACATTTACTAAAATTTGATTAACGAATCAAATTTTATTTCTTTTATTATTTACTTTAAGGTACATTTTACTAAAAAAACAAAAGAATCAGCTCAAAGAATTTAATTTGCAATTTAATTATTTTATATTTACGAATGAAGGTTGTTCTTATTTTAATAAATGCGTGATATATTAGATGAAGAATATGCGCTATGCTATGAATGTATGATTAATGACATTTTTTTATTCAGTTTGTGTGACGGTATATAATTCAATCCAATTACATCCGTTTCTTTTTTAATTATTTCTAGTATTTATCTTTTCATAGCTTAATCACAAGGAATAATCTTGACTATAATCTTACTCTTTTTACATTATAGCAAAAGGAACTTTTGAACAAATTGATTTCCTGGTACCATCAAAGATCCGTCGTGTGGAGGGATTACGTTAAATCTGACGAGATTTAAAGTCCTTACGTTCGTGGGATGTGAACGTTTGGAGAATAACGTCAAATAAAATATATCTACGGAGAACAAAATAAATATTTTAATACGTTTTTAATGCTGTCAATTTTAAGTGAAAAATTCATTGATTTTTACACTAGAGAAAACTATAAGCTACATATTATCCAAACAATATTTCGAATTTTAAGAATGAGTACATAATAAATTAATGTGAATATACGTATTTGAAATTTTATAGAAAAATGTTAAATACTCTATAAATGAAGATAAAAAGTAAAATTTTAAGCGTTCGAACTGTAAAATATTGTTATTATTCTGAAATAAATTCTTAGTAATACTGATTTGTTTGCTTAGTGAAAAAACTTGAAAAATAGTCAAAAGTGCTTGACTCAACTGTCTTTTTTTTTTTGTGCGGGGTGGTCACAAAAAATTCTTTTTTTAATTTTATTTTTTTATTTTTTTTTTTTTTTTTTTTGGGGATTAATTTACATTTCAAGCACTTGTGTAATTTTTAAGGTATTATTTTTCATAAAAATACTAAGCGGAAAATGAGTCTTCTGGTAAAATAGATAAAAAAATTTTACAAGATCCGTGCAATATTCTTTAATTACTAGATTGAGAGGCTGATTGTTTGAAACTCCAAAAAGTTAATTTAGATTAAATAAAAACACCTAAACCACATTTAAATGCAAATTTTTAAAAAAATTTAACAAAATATTTAGAATTTTTTTTCTCTTCAACTTTATTAATTGCTGATCAATTTTAATTTCAATTCTCTCTGAGCTTCAAAAACAAAGACTGTCTTGTTTCAATGGTCCGACTTCACGACCAGTGGGTCATGGTTCTTATCCCGATTGTATAAATTGCATCAAATAAAAAATTTTATCCTAATTTATAGAATTTTCCCTCTCTCTCTCTCGGTTGTTCGTCTGTTTATTTTATTGTAATTCAAAAATATTTATTTTATTATATTTTCTGGATCACTGGGTTTTTTTTAAACCCGTCCACTGCTTATTTTAAAAAATATTGTAAAATTCTTTAAAAATTTTAGTTTTTAATAAATTTAAAATGTGACCTTTTAATGTATATTATATATCGGATTCTTTTACCATTTTAAAAGGTTTTATTACTTCTGAATTACTTTTTATTTATTAAACATAATTACATTCATTAACATTGTGATTATTATTTTTTTTTTAATTTCCAATGGCCAGGGTTGCAGAAGATCACTACATCACACAAGGGGGTAGGAACAAAAACAGAAAAAAAAAAGTAAGGGGAAAAAATAAAATAAAAATGGCGAGAAAAGTCTATGAACCCTGTAAGCCCCTTTTAGCTTCCAAAAAAGGAAAAAGGGGCCCCCTTTGGGGCTGGGCAGGGGGGAATGTGGTTCCCCCCAAAATCGCAGGGGGTTTTTGGGCAACATGAATTTTTAAAAAATTTTTTTCAGAAGAAGTCTTTCCCAGGGGTTCAACGAAACTCGGCAACTGTTTTACTCTTGAAACTTTGGGAAGATCTTTGGGGTTATTCCACCAGATCTTATTGGAATTTCTCTCAGCTTATTGTCTTGAAGAGAGATCATTCAACTTTTTTTTTGGGGATACGTTTGGCACTTTTAAAAGGGACAGTTTTCCCCCTTGTTATTTTTTTTTTGTTTTGAATGGGGAAACGGCCTTCCCCCTTTGTTTAAGTACTCAGACAACTCAACAGCATTTTTTACAGTAAGAATGTTAAAAGGGAGGCAGGGGGGAAATTTGAGTTCACAGCAAAAATTGCCGCTTTTAAATCACAAAGACAACGGGCCCTAGTAAAGCTATTCAGATGAAAGGCAACTCCCCCAAGGGCTACTTGGAACCCAAAATTTTTAATTGTGTTAATTTTTTATGGTTTTTCTCAAAAAAATTATAAGTATGATGAATTAGTGCATTTAAAATAGGATTAGGATACTTTTATTATCGCTTCTAAGACCAAAACTATGAAATATATTCTGAACCATCATATAGAGGGGTTGATTGACGTTAAATCTGTCCTAGCTCAAAATCATCTGGGGCTGGTTTTGGGGGGGAAATTTTTTCCGGAAAGTGGGAATGTTTTCTGGGCCCCCCCTTTTTTAAATTAGTTCAAAATTAGAGGTTTCCCAAAGGCCCCCTTTTTTTTAAAAAATTTAAAAAAAATTTTTTTTTAAAAAAAATTTTTTTTTTTTTTAAAAAAGTAAATTTTTTAAAAAAATAAAAAATTTTTTTAAAAAAAAAAAAAATTTTTTTTTTTTTTAAAAAAAAAAAAGGTTCCCTTTTGGAAAAAAAAATTAAATTTTAAAAAAATTTTTCATTAAAAAATTTTTTTTAAAAATTTTTTAAAAAAAAAAAAATTTTTTAAAAAAAAAAAATTTTTAAAAAGGTTTTTTTTTTTAAAAAAAAGGGGGTTTTTTAAAAAAAATTTTAAATTTTTGAAATTTTTTCCCCCCCCAAAAAAAAAAAGGGGGGGGGGAAAATTTTTTTAAAAAATTTTGGGGGGGGAAAAACCCCCAAAACCCCCCCCTTTTTTTTAAAAAAAAAATTTTTTTGGGGGAAAAAATTAACCCCAAAAAAAATTTTTTTTCCCCCCAAAAAAAAAACCAAATTTTTAAAAAAACCCCCCCCCCCCAAAAAACCCAAAACCCCTTCCCCTTTTAAAAAGGTTTTTTTTTTTTTTAAAACCCCCCAAAAAAAAAAATTTTTTAAATTTTATTAAATTCCCCGGGGGGAAAAAAAAAAATTTTAAAAATTATTGTAAAAGTCATTTGTCATTTTTAAATAGTAGTATAATATGTACAATAGTACTAAATATATTGTAATATTGTACATTAAAACAGTAAATTCATATATAGAGAATAAAAAAAAGACCTAAATTTACACCACAGGTAACATTTATATAAAGGTTTATTATTTATATTTGGCCAAGCTCAATTTAGGTTTCCATTTTTTAAATTAATACATCCATATGGATTTTGATTTGATTTTTGTTAACGCCTCACTCTGAAATAACACGAGGGCTTCAGACGATGAAACTCTAATTTTGAGTAATTGAGTGAGGGAATATTAACGTCGCACTATTCAGCTACTCGAGGACTTTTGAGGATGGACCACGTAATTTTGAACCATGGTTGAGTGACGAGGATGACCCCTGAGCAAGAGCCCCCTTCTAACTTCCTCACCATACTAACTAAAGTACGTTTGAGCTCTCGACAGATTTAACATGGATCGATCCCCAACACGGTGGATCGTCTAGGCTAAAACTCAGGACACGCAGACTACAAGTCCGTTACCTTGACCACTAGGCTACCGCTGCAACGGGCCTATTCACGAACCTCCTACTAATCCTGTTGGGGTAAAACTTTGTCTTTAAATATTATTCTATTAAAAAGTTCACCCGAAGAAGAAGACGTGACTTATGCAAATCAGAGCTTATATATAAGCATTGGCTTTCAGGTTCGAAACAGAGAGTGGTTATGAGCTAAATGATGGATTTAAATTTTAAACGAAAAAAGTAATAGAAAGCTATTTGAGGAAATATTCTAGATTATTTGCAATATTTAAGACTGACGAATTTGGGCAATTGCTGTTTTAAATTGAATAGTGTTGGGTTGAATAGATTAACTTATAAAACGTAAATTTTAAATATTTAGGGTGTTGCTAGGGCGTGCCCAAAAGGGAAGGTTGATTCAAAAAAAATTTTTAAAATTTCTACCTCGCTTTTGCTCCCATATTTATCTAAATATGTATTTCCTAACCTAGGTTGTTGATATTTGTTAGGCTGTTGAGAGGACTGTTAATAAATTGTATTTGTTTTGACTAATTTTCCTTTCTTCCACGTTCCAGAAACCACGCCTGTTTGAGGACTTTGAGCCTCGATTGATAATACGCATCAGCTCTTTTGCACATCGGGTTTTCAGTGGGAACAGGACACGAACCCGACTGGATAATACCAGTCACAGTTCGTGATCATGCTCACTCAGCTATCACGGCCGCATCCCAATGTAGAATTGATAACACACTGATAAGAAGAATTGATAAGCAATTATTTTCTATTTGAAAAGGTTTCAATTACAGAATATTTCTTAAATATTTTAAAAAAAAAAAGCTATGTTGTTTTTTGTAAAATAGAGAAAAACTGAAAAAATTTCTCGCATTATTTTAGAAAGCTATTAGTGTTCAAATGAATTTTTTCTGTTTCCTGAATTGCTATTTGTAACCAACTAACGGATAACAAGCAATATAAAAAAAATAAGTCGATTTCTACTAGATCAGCAAAGAAAAATTTTATTTTCGCTACTTTTTATTAAATAGTTACAATTAATATAAATATGTGTATACATATGGCAGGATCACAATATTAAGTGACAAAATAAAAAAATGATTTTCCTTGCAATTTTTATATTTTCCTTTCTATATAGGGTGTTGGACTAATTTTTGTTTGTTTGTAAGGATTTATTCATTAATTAAATTTAATTATTCTAATAAAATAGTATAGCAAAAGAAAAATCACAGTGTCAGAAAAGAGGCCATCCCAGATGGGATTCGAACCCACTGCCTTTGGATTAGAAATTCAACGCGCTATCCAGTGCTACAGGGACACAAAGAACAACTTTCCTTCCTATAATTGCTATTGGAATATTATTTTTGCTTGTTACTATTTATTCAATTTTTAATTTAATGAATGAATCAATATTTGAAAAACTGTATTAACATCAAGTGTCATCCACTGCAAGTTTAAAAAAAATTCATGTGAATTTGAATAGATGAATATAAAGTATTTTATTAACGATTGAAAATTTGAACAAGATATATATATATATAGGGAAAAAGTGAACTAAAAGTAGGAATTGAAAAAGTATTAATATCGTGAAAAAATGAAATTTTTTGTTATAACTGTTTTCAAATTTTAAAAAAAACTAAATAAGCTTATTTTTGAAATAAATTACTAAAAAACATTCATAAAATGCAATGAAAATCTATAAATACATCAGGTAATTCAGCTGTATAAGCATAGAATCTATAAATATATAAAAAAAATCATAAGTACAGATCATTAATAGTTAATAATATTAAGGTAATTATTCAGGATGTAAAATATTTCTTGCTTTCAGTAAAAGCGTATATATAAATCGTAATACATTCACACAGTAAAAATTTGAATAAAATAAAAATAAAATTTGAAAGAGTTTTGGTTTGTGTCCAAAACATTTAAACAGCAGTGCAGTTTAAATTTTCATAAGGAGAAATTTATTAAAGTAGTTAAATTTGTTTTGTTGTGAACTAGTAAGAACTTAAAGAAAAATTCATTTATTTTATATAATATTAGTAGAGAAACTAATTTATGCAACACATTTTTCATTTTATATACATAGTAATTAAAATATACTTTTACTCTCATTTAAAAATCAATTTATTAATCTTTTTTGGATATCTAATATAAAAGTAAAACATTCATACAAATAACAATATTTTTGGTAATTTCTTTTAAAAAACATTTCTTCCGTTATCTTTCTTATTCATCTTATCCATTTATATTTAATAATACCTAAGAAAACTTTGAAAAAAATTTAAAATCAGTTCTCCCTGAGTGGAGTTTCTAATATAAAAATAAAACATTTATACAAATAACAATTTTTTTTGCAATTTCTTTTAAAAAACAATTTACATCCTTTTCTTTCATCGTATGCTTTTATATTTAATAATATCTACGATTATTTTGAGAAAAACAAATTTAAAACTGATTTCCCCCCAATGGGATGAATAGAAATTCCTGTTTACAGATTTCTTCATTTATGCAATAAAAACATTCTGTAAAATAAAAAAAAAATGTGTTGTTTTCACATTCTATTTGTTTTTCTATCTTCACAAAAAATATGCAATTTTTGCTCACTCCCTCTTCTGCTAACCCTGTGCTCTCCCCCAATTCAAACCTCGGATGCATGGGCAAGTATCATCATCAGAGAGCGGATCTCTCCCCTCCCGTTGCCATAGTAACCGTGACGTAATTCCGTCAGCTGAATCCTCTCCCGAACTGCGGGGCACGTATTGCTTTTTTCGGGGAGGGCCCTTTTAAAAGTGCGTGTTTAAAAGCTGCGGGTCGGATTGGTCGGGCGGTCGCCTTTGCTAAGTCTGCAGGAAATTCATATCTTTATGCAAACTAGTACGAAATTGGAAAAGGCGTAACTGGATGATGTTTTTTTTCTTTCCTCCCTTTCCCTCATCTCTGCATTCCTTCGCCAATTGTTTCTCGTCACAGTAATTTCGCTGTTTGATTTCTTTTTTTTTTTTTTTTTTGGTTTTTTTCTTATGTTTTTGCTAGCGTGATTCCAAAGGGTTCGTTTTTTATGTTTTAGAACCCAAAAAAGGAAAAATGGTTGCTGGAACCGCCCCAAACCTAAAGTCAAACACGCCAAAATCAATACCATGAAGGGGGGATTTAAGGTCATTTATTCAGATCAATCGTATATCCGTCAAAATAACTCACAAACAAACTTTTGTGATTAAAGACCGACTTTGAAACGCACTTAAACCAGTCGGGAAACTATGGTAAATACCTCTGAATGGTTTAACTCAGGCTGGCTCAATCAATTAAGTGATTCTTTTTATGAAACAAAAGGGGTTTTGTTTGGAAGTTGATTAATGATTTACTCATATCAATTTGCCGATTTAGAACTAGTTTGGAAAATTAGTTTTGAGATGTATTTTATGGCGCATGTGTGGTTGTGCGAGTTTTTAATTTTTAGCATAAAATGTAATCTTTGCTGAAAATCATTACTGGCTGTCCATTTGTAAATAATGGTATTCAGAATTTGAGCAAACAGACTTAAGACTATAAACAGACTTTATATTCAATAACTAAATGTTTCATTTCCATCCACAGCTTTATTTCTCCCCAGTAATTCTATTAAATTATGATACAAAAGTCACTAGTTTTAACTATAAATGATAATTTATAAATTATTTACTCTTGCCAGTTTATTAATTTAAAAGATTTTGTAAGGCATTGAATTTAAAAAGTGAGATGTGCTCAGTAATTTTAGGAATATTTTATTTTGATTTAAATACAGTCTGTGTGTGTGCCTGCATCTGCTGATATCATTATGAATATCCGATTAATTAACATTGTGATAATCTTAAATATTTAAAACAGTGGCTCAAGGTAAACTAAACAAATTAAACAAAATGATATTAGTATTATTATCTAACAAATTTGAATTAGTTAAAAATAATTTTGAGTTCATATTAGATAATGATTTAAGTCAAAGATTCCTTTAGAAAGCCTAAGAGCTAATGAAAATAGTTAATAAAAGTAATAGAATGTTGATTGTATACTATCAACGAATAAAGTCTGCTATAAAAATGTCATTGATAATGATTATTCCTTTCTAAAAAAATAGATTACAACAAAAATATATTATAACTACAGTACTATCAATACGATTAATGAATGTTATAAATGTCTTTATTCTTATTAAAACTCAGTTTAGTTGGTTTTTGTTGTTTTGTTTTTAAAAAGGGAAATTAAAAACAAATCTATACTAAAAGACAAAATAGCCCTTTTTTAAAGGGTTAAAACCCAAATTCCCCACATAAAAATATTATCAATAGAAACCAATTTTGGGAAAACCCAAATTTTATAATTTTTAAAAAAACTCAGTAATTTAAGAGTAGTACGTATGATTAAGAATTTGAATAATTTAAAAATAAGTTAAAAATAGATTATTTTGTAAAAAAAGTCACTCATTTATGAGAATTTTCATCAAGTCGTAGATATGAATTCAAATAAATGATAAATGCTTTAAACTTGTTTATATTCTACTCAAACTAAAAAAAAACAACCAGTGTAAATAGATATAAATTTTAAAAATAATTTCCAAAATCATTTTTATGAATAAAAAAATTTTTATTATTTCTTTTATATATATATAAATATATATATAATATATATTATATATATTATATATATATATATATATATAATAAAATATCTTCAAAATTTAGATACGTTTGAGAATTATAAAACACTTCACACGCATTATGCTGATGTGTTGAATCGAATAAAATGTTCCTTTAAATTAGTATTAGTTTTATTTTTTGATTTTTAAACTTTAAATAACATTTTCAAAATTTAATATTCAATGATGAAAAGTTTGCTAAAAATATTTATTTAAGAAACGTATATGCCTCCAATTCTAACACTTCGACACAATTTAAAATGAGAATGTATTAGTCTAATGCATTTATGAAAAGTTAATAAAATTCAAAATATGAATACTAAGTGGATTCAATTTGAAAAAAAAAATTAACTTATTTATTGCAACTTAAAACCTAACAAAATAAATTCACTGGATAAAAAGAAATTCAAAGTATATTTCATGCTTTTATAGCTCATAAAATTCTCATCTGACTCAAAAAAGACGTATAAATTTAAATATTCAGAAAAAAAATAAGCCTTTTCTTTACAACCTATAATCTTCCAAAATTAATTTGAATATTGGAAATAAACAACATTCCACTTAATTCCTTTTAAATTCGCTCACAGGCGAAAGGAATTATTCAGGAACTGGAAACACATAAAAGCTGCCATTACAAGGAAATATTGCTCTGTTATTGGTCCTTTCAAAATCTTAATGATCTCCCATTGGATAAGGTAAGTGCCGCTTTTCCACGTCGTAGATGCTAGTAATGACTCCTTGAGAATAATTCGTGATGCCAAATAATAATAACAATTATAATAAAGAGGTTCATTTCTTGTGATTCTTTTGACAAAGTCATTGGTGGGACAAAATTGTTTGGTGTAATGGAAGTCATCGAAAAAATTATAAGGATTTCAAGCTTATAAGCACTGTTTAAATAATGACATTTTCCCTTAAATGTTATATTTAGACCTTTGTTTTTATTTTAAATCGCCAAGAGCCATGAAAGCGATAAAACGATTCATTATGGTTTGGGGAAAACCAATGGATATAAAATGGACCAATATAAATCACAGATTATTTATTCTGTAAAATACCATTATTTTTTTTAACTAATTGTCCTTAAAAGTAATATTGGTCTTATTATTTTTTTCTTATACACTCTGAGATGTATCGAGTATATCTTCTGGGTATTTTAAAAGGGAAACCGTTAAAAGGTCATATAAATATTATTAATATTAATGTATCATGTCAGATATTATAAGACGTTATCCAAGCAATTTTATATACACATTTAAGGCAAATTTAAATAAAATTACACTTAATGATTGATATTTAATTCTAAATTAAGTTTTACGTTAAGAACATTGAAATATTATAAGCTCATATACACAATAAATATTTTTTTTTATTTCTAACCATTGCTAGCCTAGTACCTTCCTGAAACTGGTATCTCTTTTCAGTGCGGCCCATATAGGGAGATATCAATCGCCGCAAGTACTTTTGACACCAGTTTCCTCCCTAGAGGAGGTACATGAGCTCTGACGATGCAAACCTGTGCTAAGATTTAATTTTGCCAAGAGAACCCAAGACAAAGAGACACTAGAGATCTCTTACATTCCTTATAATCATACGACAAGCCCTCTGTCGATTTTCTGCATCATGAAAATCCACCGAATTGG